AGTTATATAAATATGGTTCAAGTACATTTAAGCAAGAAGCAAAGGGACTTTATTTGCAAGGGAGATTATGTTTAAGAAACATGGATTTCTTACAAGTTAAATTTGAAGTTTCTTAAATACCATGCAACATTGCAACAAGATTATCAAGTTCATCACATTCTATCAATATCCATTCATGTACAAGCATACAAATTCATCCGATTTCATCTTGATTTTCAAGCAATTCCATTCATTAGAGACATCTTTCTTCAAAGGAATTCAATGGGAATTGGAAAAAAAATTATGTTGATCATTCTTGAAGACTTTGAATTTTGGAACAAGAAGAAATGGATTTCATTCAAATTTCATTTGAAGTTCACAAGATTTCAAAATTACAAAAAATTACAAGCTAAAATTCCTAAGTCCTAAAGATGTGAATCAAAGTCTAAGCCTATGCTAAACTTGCTCTTGATCCAAAAAATCTGTGCCATGCCATGGTTCTCCTTTAAGACCTCTTCCATATATTTCAAACCTCTTTCTAACTTTCTTCCTTGCATCAAACCAAACATGCCTTGCCATTAAATTCATAGCTGTTCAAAATATGCGCCTACTTGCTCATTCAAAACCCTGCCCTGTATCAAGAAAAATAAACCAGTACAACCAACCTGCAAAGAATACAACCAAACCAGTTAATATCAGTTCAATTCACTCAAACTGGAAAAATCAGTTCATAAAACATGAAGTTGTAGCCTTGCCAAAATCTCGCTGTATACATAATTTCAAACCTGCTGCTGCCTACACCTTCAACATAAAACAGCTTGCAAGCAAACCAATGCAGCTTCAACTTGAAGCCCTACACATTAATAAAACCAGAGAAAATCCAAAATCCACAACTAAACCAAACTCGCCCTGCACATAAAAAAACCAGAAGATAGATAGAGAGGCATCATAATGATTTTGTTCACAATTGAGAATGTGAAAAAATCAGAAACAATAAGCCAACTCAGCAATAATAGAAAATTGAATCTCATCAACCTCCAACTAACTTCCTCTAACCTCCTAAAGACCTTAACTGTTTTGGCCCACTGTTTTTTAACTAACATAATTTCACAAAACCTATAACTAATCTCTATCCACCTTCAATCCTATCCATCTAATTTCTAACAGAAAATCACGATCCAATGGCCAGGAATCAATAACTTCTAACAAACTATCACACCTACATAACACAAAAATCACCAGATTCAACTTCATTCGTCAACTTTCAGAAGAATCACAAAAAATATCTGAAAATATCTCTCATCCCAACCTTTTCTCCCCCTAAAAATTTATGCACTCTATCACCCTCAATCTCATGTTCTTAACCTTCTTCAACTTTCTGCATCGTTCTGCAAGAATCTTCATCAATCGCCAGAATCACCTTCAATCTTCAACATTCATTCACCTTCTCAAACTGCCACAATCTTCAACATCACTGCTTCCATCTCAACACCTTCACTTCTTCATTACGACGAAAACCGTAACTTTATCGACTCCGCAATTCTCAAAACTTCTTCACCCGCACCAGTTTCGTTGTATTCGTTTCGTTCCGTATCTCCATCAAAGTTGCGAACAACAATTAAGAACACAACATCACAAAATTTTGACGAAAATAACAACTCAGGGAAAGCGGAACCACATAAGGTAGAAGAAGAGAAAGAAAATCAATGAAACAAAGAGAAGAAAAAGAAGAAGAAGAAGAACTGTGTGAATAGGTACAAGGCACAAGATTTCACCTGAGTTTGCAAACCCTATAAGAGTAACAAAAGCTTCAAACAGGTTTCATTTTCCCGATTAATCCACATATCCGTGAGTTTTCTTGATTGTTCACAGTTGATTGCATGTTCATAAACCACACATCACTGAGACTTAGCCCGAATTCGCGAAATCCTCAACTTAGGGTTTCGAAACTACTCCTTCGATCCAGCCATTTGAGAGGTTTCTGGAAGGAATTGATGCGAGATTCATGATCTGAAGGCAGTATAACGAATGTTTTATGTTCATTTCGTAGAGATTGGAGAAGGTTGAGGGATGGTATTGGCCGCAGTGTACTCGTTGGAACCACCATGGAACAAAAGATGCAAGAAGAGATGGAAGAGAATTCGCGTTTTAAAGAAGATAGAGAGTCACAAAGACCACTAATCCTATTATCCAACAACGTCGTTTTCGGTTTGTCTGGGAGTTTTGTTTAATATTTGTTTCAGAAAATCAGAAATAGAAAAAAAAATGAAGAAGTCTGGGCATGATTTGAATCGGTTTGGGCTTAAGAGTCTTGTGCCTCTATGCACACTCTATGCCTGATCCATGAAACACCATGTTCTTCCTTTAGATTTCAATTTGTTCTTAAATTTTAGCAATTTAATTTTGGTGCTTTCTTCCAGGATTTTTGGCTGAAATTTTCTGTGATATTAGTATGTCAGTCTTTGATTCGATGACATTTTTTTTCTTCATATTTCTTCTATTAACTTAGGAATTAATTGAATTAATTTTTGTTACATGATTAGAAATAGGATTTTAACGCGTTCTTGTCGACTCCGTATCCTTGATTCAATTTCCTTAGCATGATGAGTGGTTTAACGGTAGGTTCTGATCCCTGAACGATGCCTTGTTATTTTTTACGCATTTGTTCATGTATGACGGGGACATCCACTATGGATATATCAAGAGTCCCTCTGGTTTATTTAAAGACCCGTTTAGGGCACTTCCTTCTTGTGATTGAAAATACCTACTCAAAAAGGGGCCATGTTCTTGTTTGTTTAAAACCCTACCTTTGAAGTAGGTATTCTGCACGTGTGTTACATTTGTGCCTGCATTATTCCCTCATCCACCATGGAAGTCCTCAAAAGGAGGCGAGCGAAAAGGGTTAGCAATCAACCCACTTCCATTTTTTCTATGTCATCCTTAGCTCGTGACGCACCATAACGTTTTAGAATTATGCAGATCTTATGTATCAAGTCGTCCGGTGGAAAAGGGTTTCACAACCAATCCCCGACGACTTTCCATGAGTTTTCATTGGCCAATGCAGACACTCTATGATTGTTCATATTGCTTTTATCTCCTACCTCGATCTTCTATATCTTGGTTAAGTGCTTAGTCATTTTGGACATCACATTTTTGTCTTACATCCTATTCCCGCTTGTTTTCTTTGGGTGATCCGCTCCCCTTTAGATTAACCATTTTTCTTCTTTTATATTTCACTCCCGCTTGTTTGTCTCGGGTGATCCTATCCCTTGACTAAAGCATTTCGCTTCTTTTCTTTACCATTTTATGTGTGTGCTCTTTCGAGTTTGTTTGCTCACTCGCTTTCTATATCATGTTCCCTTAGGATATGCTTGTTCCTTTCGGGTGAAATTTAGACCTTAGGTTGCAAACCATGCATGATAATATTAGATAGACGTTTCCCTTACGTTAGTCCAAGCCTTATGACCACTATTGTATGATAACATTAGGATTATAAATAAGCTAGTCTCCCGTAGACTCTTTTCTTCCCCTTTTTGCATTTGTATTTAAAACTAAAACCTTCTTTTTCTTCGCAAGTCATAAAACATCTTAATCATACTTAAACCTTTTTTCAAGGTAACAAAACACAAACCAATCAAATGTGGCATCTTTCCTTGAGGGTGTAACTCAAAACCATTTTCACAAGGGTTTGTCGCCTATAAAAAACACAAAACAAACAAAGACATGTGTGCCGAACTACGACACTCTAATTCATTGAAAGGGATACATAGGCAATAGGTCACGAGGCCAAACCGAGCAAAATTTGTAAATACTTCCTTCTTTTCCCCATATTTCTTTTGCATGCATTCTTCCTGGGTAGTAAGCAGTATACATGGATTAGACACAACCATAAGATAGATAACAAGAGTGGATACTCTAGAGTACTACGGGCGTGTGGGGTGCTAATACCTTCCTCTCGCGTAACAGATTCCCTTATCCAATCTCTCGGTCGCAAGACTGTGACTTCTCCCTTCTCAAGTTATCTTGATGTTCACCTTTCCACTCATGTGGGATAAAATACGTTTGATGGCGACTTTATTATTTGATGATGTTCAGCCAGTTGTTTCAACATGTACTAAGGTGGTGGCAGTGTAGCCGTGGTGCAACGAAGAACTTTAGGGTTTCAGATATTAAAGCCCTAAAATTCTTTTCTTCTTCTCTACGTCAAATGTTTCTTCTCTAATTTTTTTCTTTTCTTCTTAGAATTTTTAGGGTTTATTTATAGGTTTAGTTTTTAGAAAGTTTAGGAATTTTGTTTATGATTATTTTTATATTTGTAATCTGTTAGGAATTAGAAGATTTTATTCTGTTTTAGGGATTCAATTTGATTTAGTGATTGATTTAGAAAGATTTTGTTCAAGATTAGGGTTTTGTAATCTGTACTTGGACTTGTTATTGTATAGATTCAGTTTTAGTGAATAGAAAACAAATATTAATCCCTAGATATGATTTAATCCAAGATTTGATTTTATGAGGATCTTATTCCGTTATAGTTTCAGATGCATTTTCCTTTGTTGAATCTTGTAATACGATGGTGGAACTGACTTAGGTGTTTTGTGTTTTATCACAATTATTGGGGATAGTAAGAGTCGCCACCGACTTTTCTTTTATCCAATAAAGGAAAGGGTGAAAAGAACAGAAAAGACCTTTTGAGAATTTTCTTGAGTTCGGGGGGTAGGTTATGAAAGGGGAAGGTGTTAGCACCCTTTTCATCTGTAGTTATCTACGGGCTCTTAGTTGCTATCTCACTTTCAAATGCTTTGTTTGAAATGTGTTTGTGATGGTTTTTGAAAGTATTTTTGAAAAGTGCCTTCGTTTAGGTGAACTTTGTAATGATTCTCATCTCTATAAGAATGTATACAAAGCGTTAATTGTTGAAAATATTTCATGGAAAGTGTTGGTGTATTTGAAATATGTTTGGTTTGAAATGTTTGTGAGAAATAAACTACGAGCGTTCTACCTACTCAAAAAGTCTTTGTTCATTTCCTCCTCCTTTAGATATTTCTATCTTACCATTGGTTGATAAGAAGCCCTATCATTAGATGTGAAGGGACGAGCGTGGGTTATCTTACAATCATAGAAGGCAACATTGTAGGATACCTTAAAATTTTTCCGTAAGGACCTAAGATCATTTACCGAAGGCAACATTGAAGGGTCATCAAGGGACTACGATCTTGTAGTCGAGGGTGATTGCTAAAGTATCCCATGTTTGATTGGACATGATTGTTTTTCTCAAGGCAACAAGTGAGATTAACCCTAGAGGTACACGTATGCAAAGTATTGGTTTTTCATGCTTTGTTTATCTTGAATTAGTGTTTTCTATTGGTTGATTTTAGTCTTTCCATATAAACCCTAATTACTAGCATTTATATTTGTAAGCGATAAATTGCAGAATGTAAAGATTCTACGCTATTACATCATTTGGGGATGGGGGTACAAATTTACAAATGGGGAGATGGAAAGTAATTAAACCCAAAGTCGCTATTACAACTATATTTTATAATGAATAAAAATAAAAATAAAAATAAATATAAAGATAATGTAAAAAAATTGTTTTAAGAAACCTTTCATGTATTGACACTTGCACTTACGCATTGATACAAAATTTTTGTGTGCATTGACACATGCACTTATGCATTGGCTCATATCAGTTTTGTATCGACACATGCAATTATACATCGATACATATCACTCCTTGCTCCTGGAAATCAAAGCCAACTTAGTATGAGTGAATACATAAAGGTTTACGTTGGCTCATAACATGTTTTGCATTGACATATACACTTATGTATCGATACATATCATTCTTTGCTCTTGAAAGTCAAAACCAACTCAGTATGAGTTGACATATAATGGTTTGCATCGTTTCATTTCTGTTATTTGTTGACTCATTCGTGTTTTGTATCGACTTATAACCTGTTTTGTACTTAATATGTTACAACTCATAGATATGTATTGACTCATACTGCTGTTTTTTACTTCTAACATTTTTCTTCTGCATATATGAGTTAGTTCTGAACACATGGTTAATGAAAATGAAAAGTAAACATATGGTTAGCTTTATGGCAATGATATCTACATTTTATCTTCACAAATGAACCACTAATGATACTTGTATGAAGAGTTCAAAGTCAAGAAAACTTACCTTGAAACTGAAATTTGTGTTTTGATTTAGAGTTGATATATTGTTTTGGAGAAGTCAAGTGGCTGTTTTTGAGTTTGGAGAATGGTGATAGTGATGCTACAAAACTTGCTCTTGTGTTTGAACAACTTCTATATGATGTATATGAAGTATGTGGATGGTTTGTTTGGACTAAAATGCAAGGTTTGAGAGATTTGAAGATTTTGGTTTCTAAGCTCAAGAGTGGAGGTTTTATGGATAATTATGGTTTTTTTTTAGAGTATGAGGGGTTTTAAGAAACTTATCTAAAAAACAAAAACTTCTAGCCCCTAAGCTTGCAAATGGACTCTCTATTTATAGAGGAGGTTTGAGAGGATGAGAGAGTTTGTTTTACAAGCTGTTAAGATTCTGGTTTGGTTGAGATGAAACAACCAAGTTATGTGAAATTTGATGTCCCAATGCATGCTACAAAATGGATATGAAGTGGCTAGGAGTTTTTAGACATGTTTCTTCTTGCTTTGACATTG